GAAACCCGTGGGCAGCAGATAGGTTTAGCTTGTCAGTTCACAGAACTTCACATTTCTCTCCACTCTTCAATTATAAGTGCAAAAAAAGGCCCAAACACTGTAGACTCTGGGGACGGCTCTCAATCAATCTCAAGAGGCATCCCCTTTCTGCAAATCTTTCAATATTTTTTTCATAAGCCTCGAATCGTCTGCTCTCATTGTTAAATAACCAGATCTTCTCCAAACAAAACAGTAAAGAAATCTTCCGTAAGTTTTTATTTGACTCACTTGCTTTTGTTTCTGTAATTTCTGCACATTTTATTGATTATGTTTGGGTTTTGATGATATATTAGTTAAATTTTTTCTTTTGTTGATTTTCTAAAATCAAGGAATTTGATTTCAACCCCTCCAACCCCCACACACACACAGAAGGCGTTTGAAGGTAAGCTCGAGAGCTCAAAGGTCGTTCATTACTCGATTCTTGTGCATATCTGCCTCTTGTAGTTGGAAACTAATTTTTAAAAGAGATTTTAGTGGAAGCCAGTGCCAGATTTAAAATCAACCAACTGGGCTCGAATGCAGCTTTCCTATTTCAAAAGCCATGCATGGGCCTTTAAAAAAAAAAAAAAAAAAAAAAAAAAAAAAAAAAAAAAAAAAAAAAAAAAAATATATATATATATATATATATATATATACACTTTGACCAATTTTATTACTATAATTGACTTTCACCGGTTAAAGCAAATATCGAGTTAATTGTTCCAATGAATCACAGAAGTTAGGTCTATGTCTTTGATTGGTCACTGAAGCTTAAAATGTTTAGTTTTGGTCACTGAATTTAAGTCAATGTCTTCGATTGCTGATTCAACTTAGGATCATATCTTAGATTGCTCGAGTTTTGGTGAACTTTGGAATATGCTGTACATTATTCATTAGCATAACTATTGAACTTTGAAAAATATCGAGTTTAAGTAATGTACAATATTTTTTAAAGTTCATTGAGTAATTTACAACATTTTTCAAAGTTGAGCGGCCAAAATTCGATATTTTAAATTTCAGTGAGCAATCGAAGACATGGACCTAAGTTCAATGGCCATTGGAACAATTCACTTGCAATTATCTATCTTATAACTTACAGACTATCACTAAGGGACTTATATTTTAACAAAAAATGAGATGCTGTTTCTTGATATTAGGCTCCAAACTCTATATTTTTACTTTTCAATGCTTTGAGATCTACTCACTCGATTTGAAGGGAAGACAAGAAATGATTGTTGGAAAAGTAGAACGAAGAGCAAAAATAAAGAGTTTGATGTAGTCTAAAAAATTAACATCCTCTTTAATAATGAAGAGCCTTTTGGAAATGCTCTCACAAGCTAGAAAGAGGAAAGGACGTGCTTTATTTGTTTTTAGTGAGAGTAAAAGCACAATTTGACGAACTTAGAAAAAGTAAAAATTTCTTTAGTGTTTATATAATCATCCGAATTTGTAGAGTAATGTTTAGTATACATTCTTTGAGGTGTGAAACCATCAGTTTGCATGGCACTGCCTTATCTCTAGTAATAGGTTCTTGGTATTTTCAGTTGATAATGGGAAGTATTTCAAATTAACATTCTAAGAACTATAAGATGGAGCCTCGAGTGAAGAGCATAGAGCTGCTCGCTTGTCTCTTCTCATAATGCTCCGGACATCTATTGCCTTGTTGTTATGAAAAGGATGGTTAATAATCCATTTTTTGCAACTGCTATGGGGCATATGTATTATAAAACTTGGAACTTTGGCTGTGCTGCTGTTTTTTTTTTTTGCGTAGTATTATGACTTGATAAATTCTTATCTGTCCTCGTGGATCGGAGAAAGTTGGAAATAACTGAGATAAGTATGCCTCTCAACATGGTTGTTATCTTTTTCAATAAATATTTTGTTGAATCAATATTTTATTAATTCATGGGATTAGAATTCTGCTTAATTGATATTCAACACCATTTCCAATGCCAGAACTAATGGGAAACACCTTGCAGGAAAATACTATCCACCATATTCTATGAAATTTTTTTCTCGATTTGTTTGCAATGCTGTCTTAACCAGTACAATCCGATAATTACTTTTAAATTTGGAATTAATTTGGAGAGACTAATTATCAAACTGCTGAACGGGTTTGTATTCAGGTAAACATGGCAACTGCAAGCCTTCCCAACAGCTGCATGCTCAGAACTGCACCACCTCAAGCCAGAAGCAAAAGTGCCTTTCTGAGGAGCCCATCATCTTTAAGATCCATAAAGAGCATCTCCAAAACCTTTGGCTTGAGAGCTAAGTCGGGTTTCAGAGCATCTGCCATGGCAGTTTACAAGGTCAAGTTGATTGGACCAGATGGCACTGAGAACGAATTCGATGCTCCTGATGACTGTTACATCCTTGATTCGGCTGAGAGTGCAGGAATTGATTTGCCATACTCGTGCAGGGCCGGCGCGTGCTCTACGTGTGCTGGGAAAATGGTTTCTGGTAGTGTTGACCAGTCTGATGGATCTTTTCTCGATGATAGCCAAATGAAAGAAGGTTACTTGCTGACTTGCGTCTCCTACCCAACTTCGGATTGTGTGATTCACACTTGCAAGGAGAGCGATCTTTACTGAGCATTTGCCTGAGTTTTATGCTTCTAGTTTATTAGCTGTAATGCAAAGCAATTCGTTATTGCTAGTCATGTTGTTTCGAATATTTCTGTCAATAAGTATCAAAACTGGCTGTGTTTCGAATCTTTGGAAAGCTTGTGTTCAAGTCGTGTTTGTCTAATGCAACCTCTTTCGTACCTATTGTTTTTCTAGTACTGCATATTGAACGTGTCTGGGCAATTCTGCAAACAGGTTGCAAGTGAAGGAATCAGGCGTGAAGTTCTTGTTCCAGCAGAAGGGTATTAATTTTCCTACTCATTAGCTCAAATTCAAAATCGTGTTGTTGTGGCCCTAGTTGGAATGAATAAATCTATCAATGTTCTGGTCGGATCGGGTCTGTGTCTTGTGCTTTTACAGGTTTCTGGACTTGTTAAGCAAGAGTAGGCTTAAACAGAACCGAGCCTAGATTTTTTGGATACTAGAGAGGTAGTCCAAATAAGCTAGTATGGCAAATGAACTGGACTGGTGGGCTTCTCTCGAGTTCAACATGGGGACGAACGACTTTAGAGAAGGCTTAGGCGTAAAAACATATTACTTATTTTTATTATCATCTTAAAAATCATTTAATAATTAAAATAATGCATGCTAAACATCTAAAATTATAAATATTCTATTTACTTTGGGTGTGTTTGAGCTTCATTGTTTTTTAAAAGAATATATTTTGGAATAGTAGATTGATGGATAATGTGTGGTTAAAAAATAAGAAAAAGTTTTTGGTTTGTGTGTAATATTATTTTAATGAAAAATATGTGATTGAAAAGAAGAGAGAAAAATGTATTTTTGAAAGAATGAAAATCAAACACCTCCATAATAATTTGATGTGAATCCATGTAGTAACAGTAGTTGCGAAATCCATATAAAATTGATCCAAACGCAAGAAAAAAGTCAAGAATCAATATTTAAAGTTTGATCCAAAATATTGAACCAAAAAACCTACAAAATCGTAGGCAATTTATTGACCCAGTGATTACTAGACTCAAGAATTTCACTCGAATTGTTTAAATGCGACAAGAAATAAATCTTGATAAGTTTAGAATTAGTTCAACGAGGAACAAAGATTGAAAGCAAAATATGCTCACAAAATAATCTCTTAAATTTTATATTTCAAAATTGTTCTACCATGTTTTCATGAGTTCTGTATATAAAGAACTCATGTAAATCTAATTTAAAATGAAATCAAATTCTAAATATTATAAAAGATACAACAAATATAGAGTTTTAACTAAATTATGATATTTCATAAACCTAGTTAAAGCGAAATCAAATTTTAAAGATTGCAAAAAAATATAAAATTTCAACTAAATAAAGAGATTTCACGAATTTTAAAAAATTTCGCGCACTATTTGAACTACGTGATCGATAATTCTATTGGATGCGGTCGCATAGAACTTTTAAACTCTTCAACTGGATTTTCTGCCTGGCTACATGCGGCCGCATATAGTTTTGCATTATGCGGTCGCACATGCCCTGTTTCAACTTCTCCATCTATTGCTTTAATCAAGTTGATCTATCGTGTTTCTTCTCCAAAGTCCAACACGAGTCTCGTTTCTTTGTTTGCCATGATCAATGTTTCGTCCACTGTGACTTGAATAAGTAGTCCCATTGTTTTTTCAACCTTCTTAGCTCAAGACCTAGTCGTTGTCCCTTCTTCAACTATTAATGAATCCTTATCCGGACTTGTCTTTGTGCCATGGATCACATCACAAGTAGTCAATTATACAATTTTCAAATTTTTGAAATGCAAAAACTAGACTATTTTTCATATTTTCAATTTTCAACTAAATAAACTCTATTTAACATATTTATAGGAACTTCATACATACTTTCGAAATTTCAATAAAATGATAAGTTTCAAAATCATAATTACATAATATAGATAACATCGTAGCTTAAATTTCATCTACATTTTTATTAGTCATTGTTTACTTTTGTACAGATAAAATCATTTGAAAACTTGAAACTAAAGTCAAATAAAAGTCTTTAAAAACTTGTGCAAGTCAATTCACTTGTGACTTCGAGAAATATAAACAAAAATAATAATTAGAATATAGCACATATGAATATTTAATCAATATTTCCTATATTTTTCAGTGAAATCTTAACTTATTAAAATTTATTTTTCTTTATTTCGCATTTGAGTTTTAGGAAGATCGTAATAAATTTTATAAAACCACACAGAAAAATGAATAATCTTCTAAAGAAAAAAAAAAAAAGCATTATATAAAATATCAATAAACAAAAATGGTATGCAAAATGTTACATAAGGTAATATAAAAAGTGTGATTTTTTAATACAAATGGTATTTTTTGTTATCGTTATACAAAATATAGCATGTAAAACGTAAGTTTTAAAAATAGTGTATGCAATAATTTCTTTTACAAGATGATCAATGATTCTCGTTTAAGTTCAGTTCTCTTTTGATTTGGACCACGTCCACCCCTACAACTAACCATATTTTACCCAATAAATCTTTCAAATTTTCTAAGAAATTAAACTTCAGTATGATTTAAAACATTTTGAAACATTAAGAAAGGGGGTAAGTATCCAAATGTTTAACACTAAGGGGATGGAAAATGGGAGAATAAGTGACTCGATACGGCCAATGCTACATAGCATGCTAGTTTAGATGATATAGTTTGATACATTATATTATGTCATTCTTCTTTAATTATGTTCATTGTACCGAACCAAATATTTTCGTGGAATACAATTTTTTAATTAGTTGCTTGTAACAGAAAATATTTAACGAGAGTTACAACATAACAAGATGATATTCAAATTTGTGCTGTAATCTTTTAGATGGCATAGGTTTGGAGCACAAATAGCATCTTAAGGGCACAAGTTATGTGAAATGGTTCGTGTTGGAACTTCAAAGATAAATTAAACACGAAAGATGACAAGTCATTATGCTTTAAGATGCACGAGTGATATTAATCTTCAATCCCGATTTTTTCCTTGTTTCCCCCAGCATATAAAATGGGTGGATTTTTACATTCATGTGCCCCAAGCAAAGAAAAGTAACTAATCATCATATGAAGATTGAAACTTAAGAGAAATATATGCCTTTCTAAAATGTAATTAAAAGTTCATCATGAAAAATACGAAACATAAAATTATAATGCATCATTCATCCTCCTCCTTTCTCTTCTTGCTTTCCACGTTTTTATTTGTCATGGGTTCTCAGTGGAAAGGATTCCACTTATATATGCTTTCACACCATTAATAGTTCATAGCATATTTGTTTTAATAATTTCATTATTTTTGTCTTTTATTTTGTTTCTTTATGCTAATCGCAGTCATCTTTCCAGAAACTACAACAATTCTTGACATTTGGATTACTAGTTAGAGCCATAATTGTTAAAGTTTACAATCAGGAAAATTGGGTTTTTAATAAAAAAGTTGATAAGTTGCAAAATATTACAATTTTCAGTCTTCTCTTAATAATATATAAAATGAAACAATTTTTTTAAAAAAAAATCATATTATTCCAAAAACATGAAAAATATTTTAAACACTTTCTGTTTATTAAGAGATTAACTGTGGAAAAAATGTTATTTTTCAGATTATTTAATTATTAGTTTTACACAAAGGTATAGTAGATTCAAAACAATGTTAATCCCAGTTGATAAAGTAGGTTATATTATACTAGACTAACATTTTTCTACCATCAACATTACAAAATTTATGGTTCGTTTGACAAGATATTATTTTTCTAGAACTAACAAGCTGCTTTTGGCCTATTTGACTAATTTTTTGGAAGTTTTTAATTTTAGAGGAAGCTGATTCATCAGGACGTTCTCAAATTATTCTTCTACAAAAAGCAAAAATAAAAATATAAACCTATAAAATCGACCTTTTAGATTGCATTCCTGTGAAGTGCTTGCCATCACCAACAGAAGACAAGGCCTTCATCTTCATATCCTCTACTTCTTCGATTCGAATGTGAACCTTCTCAAATAAAAGTGACATTATTGAACACTAAAATAATTTTTAAGAGGTTGTGCTGGTGTGCTTTTAATAATAAGTAAAAATAAATAAATATGAATAAATTATGTTTATTTAATTATAAATATGAATAAATTAACCTTTCCAAACCTTAAAAACTAATTATTTGTTTGAGGTTATATTTCAAGAGTTTATGCTATTGTGCTTTTAATAATAATAAAATAAAATAAATGAATAAATTAAGCTTTTTTAAATAATAATAAAAATGTGCAAGGGTAAAAATGTCATTTAGATGGAAAAGAGAAGCTCGATGTGGATCGAGTGACTGTTGGAAATCTACTTAAACATGCACAGCTAAAATAAAATAGATTTCAATTCCCACCAAGAATTTTTTTGTGTTTAGATAGAAATTGTGATAAAAGATGTACCTTTTGTTGAGATCTGTAAACTCCTTTGCTATTCTTTGTTCCAACGATCTTGATTCATCATCCACAGCTGTCCAATTGTGCAGCCTGCAACGGTGATCCACACAAAGAACAAGATTGTAGGATTAAGTTTTTCATCTTGTGCTAGTAAGAATAATGAGTTCCCTACAAAATTGTAAACCCTAATAACTTATTTATATAAGCCCAAACGGGCCTAGCCTGACCCGATCAAATATTTAATTAATTCATTTAATTAAATCCGATCCACTGAATTAATTAATCCAATTAATTAATT